TGTGTGTGTGTGTGTGTGTGTGTGTGTGTGTGTGTGTGTGTGTGTGTGTGTGTGTGTGTGTGTGCGCGCAGGAGGAACTGGTGGGCAACACAGAACTGGTTCAGAGCTACCGACAACAGATCAATAACTCAGTGAACCACTACAACCTGCAGCTCTTCTGGAACCTGTACAACAGGTGAGCAAACGTCACTTCAGGCTCACTGAGACCTCAGAGTTCGAGTCTAATGATGTTTGATCACTTTGACGTTTTTCAGCCGGAGGGATCTGGAGATGAACCGTGGTGGGACGGCACTTAACGCCAAGACCCTGAAGTGAGTTTGCAGGCCCTGTTTACATTCAAAAAAAATAAAATAAAAAACTCATTCACAGAATTAAGATCCTGGTTTAGTTGTGAATGCAGTTATTCTGTATAAATTAAATTTATAACAAAAACTATATGGGTCTGTCATTATATTTGATTGGGCTGTGAGGGTATTTTACAATAATCACAAACAGGAGTAATTATAATTAATCATACCTGTTGCTCAAGACCTCAGCAAACATAAGGAGTAATTACATGATAATTACCAGACTTGTGTGACAGATCCAGAATGTTTTCAGTTAATTCTGGTGGATTCTCTGCAGATGTCCTGTGATGCTGGTTGTTGGAGACAACGCTCCTGCTGAGGAGGGAGTGGTGAGTCCACATTGATATGGTTTCATTTTTATGGAAACACGTCTTTTTTATATCAGCAGTTTGCACCAAGTTGGGGTTTTAAACTTACGAGTTAAATTGACCTCGCCACTGCAGCTATTTTAAAACCACCAAATAATTCTGTCGACATTGTGAGCGTGTGAAAAAGACTAGGAGAAGAAACAGACTGAAAAGAAAAGGAAGTAAAGACAGAAAGAAAAAAAAATTTCAAAAGAGAGAAACAAAAACCAGGGTTTACAGAACTCTTTTTCAGGATGGTTGATCTAAGTAATGACCTTCCTCCTTCAGTTCAGCCTGCTGCTGTGATTCACAATTATATTCATTTAAAAGAAGCTCCAAACAGCAGAACCTCCCCTCGTTGTTTTTGGCACAGTTTGTCCTCAATCAGGTAAAGACCTGGTTCTGTCCCTGTCCAACTGTCCTGCCCCTCTGGGAATGCTGTTTCTGTCCATCTGTGTGTCTCTGTGGTCTTATAACACTTGTCTTTGATCCTGTGTRTGTGTAGATGTGTGTGTGTAGATTTGGGTCTATGCATTCTCCAGGGGACAGATGGCCTTGCCACGTCTCTGGGGTTTCCTAGCTTTAAGTGGCCAGAGTCTGTTTGCTTCTGCACCAGTTAATCTGCCTCACGCTCAGATTTAAATCAGATCGCTCWCCTGTCAGGTGCACGCAGCTGAAGTGGACAGGAAGCCATGTTGTTCTAAAACTTCCTACAGAAGAGAATGTGACACAGAAAAGGCAGAAAGGAGCCGTGGGAGTTAGTGGGCGACGTAAACAGAGATAGTTTTATTGAACATGACAGATGGAGGTCGTGTTCCTGTTTAATATTTGTTGATTTGAAGTCACTTCAGAAGGAATTCATGTTGAGAGATGCATTCATTTTTCCTTTTTCTTCTCATTTCTCTCCATATTTGTAATTCTTCTAAAAATAAATGTGTAATTTCTCCAGAACACRTACAAGACTTTTATTTTAGTTCTGTATTTATTGTCATGTTTGTGCAATGACCTGTGTGRTTTAACAACTAGTGCAAAGGATTTAAATGCATCAGAGTGAAATGAGCTGTCATGTGCACGATGTTCTCTTTGTGAGTTCATGTGTGAGCAGTCATGCATTAAGTGTGAGCATTTGTGCACATCTGTCTAATTTGTGTGTGTGTGTTGTGTGTGTGAGGCTGTGTCATCCGGCTGGACTGACTCATCCCTGCAGCACACTGCAGGATCTGGGTCAGCCCCATGCAAACAGACCAAAATAATCCCTGTAAAACCGTTACTCATGCACACTTTCCTTTAAATGTTGATTATCTGCAACCAGAGTTTGTGAAATGTTTTCACTGCAGTGCATTCTCTCAAAAACATCATCACTGAAATAAATGTTTTTGCCTTTCAGGTTGAGTGCAACTCCAAACTGGACCCAACCAACACCACCTTCTTAAAGGTAAACACTGATCTCACCACAGCTGCTGCAGACTCACAACATTAATGGTTTTTAAGAACTAAGTTTCATCAGGAATAAATAATGTTTCCTTTTGATTTTTATTTCATGAGTGATTTTAATTTTACAGGCAGTTTTCAACCTTTTTGTTTGTATTGTTTTTGCAGAAAAGCTCTTTTCTTTTCATATTGTTTTAAAGAAATCACAGAAAACAACTAATTTCCTGCAGTGACATTTGACACAGCATTGTTAATTTACCAACTAATAAAAATATCCAAAAGATTGGATTAAAGCACAAATTAAATATAACTAACACAGTCAGGAATATTTGCCATTTAAAAGATCTTCAAAAGCACGATTCACATTTGATCAAAAATCCATCCATACATAAAAACATTTTCTTTACCTGCCTTTTTTTTTTTTGGTCATAGGGAGTTCTTATAACCAAACGTAGGGTACAACCTGGACAGATCATGAGTCCATTACAGGGACGCAGAGAGATAAATGAGACAAATGACCATTCACACTCTCTCTTTCACACCTTGGAACAATTTAATCTAAATGTTATGAGCCTCTGCTGCCCTCTTTAAAACCAAAGCAATGGAGAAAACATTTGTTAATAAAGTGAACTCTTTGGAAAATTAAAGAAAGAAAATCTGAATTTACTGAATGAGTTGAATGTTTTGAGTCAGTATTACGTGTTTTAAGTTGTCGTACCTTGTTGTGAGCCATCAGCAGTTTGGTAACCAGCCGATCTCTTTTCGTGGCAGATGGCCGACTCTGGTGGACTCCCCCAGCTCACACAGGTACACATCACACAACCTGCAGACTGCTCTACAATTACAGGGAGAGAAAACATCAGACAGGCCTTTAAACACTGCATTCTTGATCTAAATAAATAGAACTCGATGTGTTGTCTTCCAGCCCGCCAAGCTGACTGAAGCCTTCAAGTATTTCCTGCAGGGAATGGGCTACAGTAAGTGTCCGTGTTCACTCTGTTCAGACAGAAATGTGATTTATTGATGTGTATTTCTTAAAGTTTCTTGTGTTGTTATTTCAGCAGGAGTGTAGTTGTTGGAATGATTGAGTGATGTATTTCCTGCAGAGGGACAGGTCGTGTGTTAATCTTGCCCTCTGTTCTCCTTGCCCCGTTCTTTCAGTTGCTTATGTGAAGGATCGGAGGCTGAGTGGAGGGCCAGGTACTTCCTCCTCCCCATTCAGCTCTAAACTCTTACTGCTGCCCCGTTCGATGGCATTTTCTATTTCATTTGGTTCATCTGTTGGGTTATGAATAATAATTTTGGGCTGTGATTATCTCTTTTAATTTTGCTCTCATTTCTGTTGTTTCCTTCCCCCCCCCCAAAAAAAGCATTGAACCCCATTGTTGTTTTATCGAACACAATTTTTCCTTCAGTGGAAAAATATACTGCCCTCACTCCTCCTCCCCCCATTCCTTCTCATTCATCACCAGTATTGCTCTTTGCATGGCGTTATGCTGGCTTTGAGCAAAACCCTATGAGCTATGTTCTTAACTAATCACAAATATACATGTTTTAAAATATATTCAGTACTCACAGAGTGTTTAAAAGTACCCCACTGAGATTTAAAGCATTTAGCTCAGGACTTTTGTTATGCACCATAGAGAAGTTTTATCATGAAAATCAGTGGTGGGCAGCACTAATCTAAATATCAGTTGCACTAACTTTAAAGCACCAACTCAAATATTTAGGTCCCCTAATTCTAAAGCACTAATGCACTAAAAAATTTAGCAAAAGCTAATTCTAAAGCACTAAAATAATCCAGTTGACACATGAAACATTCTTCAGTCAGCATGAGACAATATTTACTGTGTGCAGAATGTTGTCTCCTAGTGCCCTCATTGGGCCAAATGGGAGTCACCTGCAGGCCACATTTGGCCCACAGGCCTTGAGTTTGACATGTGACCTTGTAGATAAGTGACACACATATGAACAAAATGTGTGACAGCTTTCACCCTCAACTGTGAACAATAATGTTGATCAATAACATTTAAAGACCTCAGTTAGTGCTTCTAAATTTAGCAAGCGCTAATCCACTAATGACTTTAAAAAATAGCAAAAGCCCTAAAGCACTAATCAGGAAATTAGTTCCCCTGTTAGTGCATTAGTGCTTTGGGGGAACTGTGCCCACCACTGACTAAGAGTAACTACTTTAAACCTAAACAGAGTATTGTAGGGTAAATCTGTAAATGTTGATTTTGAAAAACTTTACATTTAAACATAAATACTGAACTCAGACTGAGATAAACTCAGGGTTTTCAGTTCTTCAAGAGTTCGGAGTCCCAAGACATCTGAAGAGAAAGTAGTTTGGTTTGGTACTTTGTGGTTGTACAACTGGGATAATTTTATACAACGATACAGGAAATGTTATTTAGAAGTAATTAATTTAATACATGTTGAGCATTTTGCTAACGACAACAACAGACAAATGATTACAAAGTAATAATTATTGTGGTCAATACCTTATGTGAAATAAGATTAGGAGCCTGAAACTCATTCAGGATTGGCTCTAAGTGTAGAACTTTAATTTKTTTGGTGTTCAGAGCATCTTCAGACTAGTTCTCCATCTGTTTCAAGGGATTCGATGGCTGTATCTTAATAATACCAARGATTTCTGCTTAATTGTTTTGAATCAGCCAAAAGCTAAAGAAATCCTCTCTGGTGCKTGTATGGGGTCACATCAGCTCAGTGGTCCAGTTTGGATCAGGACAGATAACTAAATGTAGATATTTCATGGAGCTATCATGGTGCTAACAGTGTCTGTATGCAGAAACACTGTTTTAAATCCCGAWCTATTCATGGTTAGCCTAAATATTCTAAATGTAARTTATCTACATTAGCATGTACTCCCGACATTCCCCCAACACCCACTTCTTCCAGTGTCTTTACAAATCACAACACCTAATTCTTCTGTCTTTATGTTGTTTCTCTGCCTTCCTTCCAGTGCCCTCGGCCAGTATGACCCGCCTGGCCCGCTCCAGGACAGCCTCGCTGACCAGCGCCGGCTCCGGGGAGGGGAACCGCTCCCGCGCCTGCACCAACTCCGACAGCACCGAGGGAGTCGGGGCGGTCACCCAAACCATGGAGGTGTCGTGCTGAAGAGCCACACAGTGGAGAGAAAGGAGAGGCAGAGGGGAAGGAGAGAGAAAGTAGGAAACAGAAGTGAAAAGAGGGGAGAAAATTACATTTAGGGTGATAAAAGGGTGTAAGCTGATGGCGCTTTCTGTTTYTGTCTTTTTCCTCTAAATCCCTTTAATCTGCCCTTTTCTTTCCTCTGTCGCTGTAAAATACCATCAGTATTGCTACTAACACACCCAACAGACCTTTAAATATCCCCCGTGTCTCCCCTTTGCCCCACACCTAAAGACTGAACCGACTGGTTTTGCTCTTGAAGTGTCATTCTTGTGTTTGCTAAGTGTTCCTCATTATTGCCTGCACCCTTTTCAACACCCCCCTCCACAACTCGCAAACACACAAAAAATAAAACTTAAAGCTGTCTGTAAAACAAATCTGCACAACGATAGCTTCTGAAAAGCTGCTGTTAAATGTGAGCACGAGGGTGAAAAAGTCAGACGTGAAAAAGAAAGCAGAACTTTGAGGGGGTGCCATATTTGGGGGGGTGGGGGGTAAACGGATAAAGTGTCGTGCATGTGTCTTTTGAAAGTAGTAAATGTTTATTGTGGGAAATTCTGAGTATCTCTCTCTGCGCTGTTTGTAAGAATGATTTTATTTTTATTTTTTTCACGTGGAGCGGAGGTGTGTCCAGACTTACAGACAGCAATACAGAGCCTTGTTGTAATGAGTCTGTAGCTCTTACACAACATTTAGTWTTAGTTTGTTTAGAGCATAAATAAAACGCAGCATACTGATGTGAAATCATCATTTAAAAAGCAACAGAGTGMTGCTGTTTTCTTTCTTTTTAAAACAGAAAACGAAACACGAACTCTGACTTTGAACCACTACACCACCAGGGAGCTTCATCCGCTTTTATTATCGCAAAGACAGAAAGAAAAAYGCTTAAAGTGGTTTTATTTTTATTTTGCGCAAAACGACAATCTGAATTTGCGTAACGACRTGTGAGCTTATAGTTGTTGAATGAAATGTGGTTGCTGCTTCAGCTTTTTTAAACTCTGCTTGTCCCTTTTTATTTATGTTAAAAACGTCTTTGTTTATTATAGCATGTGAAGTTTATTATCTTATATAACTTTGTTTAATTTAACACCTTTTAAGGGTGAAAAAGCTTGAAAATGAATGGCCTTATAAGAGGCAACAACTTAGTGTCGGTTGACTAAACAACGTAAAGCATTTAAAATCTAAACAATAAGCATCTTGAATGGCTCGTGCTTTTAATTTAGTGAAGAAACTGCAGCAAGAAAAGGAACTGCAAAGCGCTTCATTAGCATGCCTTTATCTGACATTTAGCATGAAAAGTCTCGAGATGTAATGACGTATATCTGCTAAAAAGTCTGCTTCAGAGTGGGTTGCATAAGTTTAGTTTTAGCATGCACTGTTTGTACTAATCATTTATTGCATTTGTTAAAGTACTTGTTTGTCGAGAGAAAAATCAAAGCCAAATGTTCAAACTGATCTGTCTTGTGGGCAGACTGGTAACTTTCCTAATGTAATATAACAAGGAATTAGATTATTAAAGTCTGCTGTTTGCATCCATTTTAGTGTTACGTTGCTGAATGCAGCTTTAATGTGTGCATCCTCACATTTTAAAGACAATCTACTGCATAAATATAGTGTAGAAGTAACACATATCTGCATGTGAATGTGATTTTTAGGGCATTCTAGTAGGAGTAGTCTGTAACTATAGGGCATTCTTCATTAGATCAAGTAGATGAGAATTTAGGTCCAACCACTGCTGTCAGTCTGTAGCTCCGCTGCATGGAGGTGGTTCTGGCCGCAGTCGGCTCTTTGTGGTCTCTAACTTGACAATCACACTCTGACCCAAACCAAACACGACCGGGAAACCGAGGCAGAACCAAGTCGACTCAAATGACTTTTTCACTGGACAAAGAACTTCCCTTACATCACCCAGCCCCCCTGCACATATAAACCAAAGCTGCCCACGTGCACACACACGTACACACAGGACCTCCTCAAGAACAACACACACTTTTCCATACATATACAGAAGGAAAAGCTGCTTGGGCTGGATTTTGTAACAGAACTGTTCTAAAATGACTGATTAAAATACAATTAGCAGCTGAAGCGTTGATCTTTAGTCACTGGATGTTTTGATGTTCTGTGTTGCCATGATCTCACTAAATCTTACTCTTTTAGTCGTGCGTACACACATGAAGTGTAGTTTTTGCGCAGGAAAGGCATGTGCTGTTGTCTGTCGCTGTCTTGGACCACCTCATTGGAGATCAAACGTGGCGCCCCTGGTTTTTGTGGTGCATTAATGTGCAGTATTTATCACATCACTTCTTCTTGTTTTAAGTAAACTATAATAATAATAAAAAAAACTTTAGTCCTCTGTAGGAAGCAGACTACCTTCCAAACACTGAGGTGTGCAATTTCCTGCGGCGGCCTGTCAGGGGCGGGGCTTTTTTGGCGCCATTTGGGCTCCAAGCTCAGAATGTAGGGCAAACCCCAGCCACCTTAAATCTAAAAAAATTCCCTTAAAAATTCACAAGGTGCCCCGGCTCTCACAGGCAAACCCAGTGGCACCCTAAAGGGCTATCAGCTGAAGTCACTTTTTAAGATGTTGCAGTCATGCTTCTGAGCACCAGGGGGCGATAGAGAGCAAACGGGCTGTTAGAACTGAGCCCTTTGTGATCCGAAAAAGCAGTTTGTCATAACAAAACAGAGAGAGATACTGACCTGAAACATAGTTGAAGGAATGTTAAAGGAAAAGAATGTGAATTTGTTGAAGCATGATTGATTAGTTGTTGTTCGTGTATTTGAAAATGTAAAACAAGCTTCGTGTTTTGAAGACGTGGAAGAGGGAGACGATGAGATCAGATCAAACAACTTGCGATCAATTTCATGAGCATTCACGGTTGCACGTAGCAGCGTTTGTGTACGGTCATCTTTCAGTGTTTCTGCTCCTCACAATGCTATTTTCTGCCATTTACACTCTGGTTTCCTCCCACACCACTTCTACCCACACTGCCTGGGGGGCTCCTGAATGTATCTTGTCCCTTTTTGAAGTGCTGTACAGTATTGTCAACCCACACCTCATTCTCACTCTGGTTTGCACTTCTTATCTTTGCCCCCTCATTTTTGACATTTAACCCAGAACATAAAATAACAAGCTCCTTCCTTGGCTTTCCTCTCCAAGGTGTTTAACCAGTAATGATGATTTCTGAAGGTCCACAGCTCCTGCAAGCTGACACTGGATCACCTTGTCCTCCTTGCTCTTGTAGATACTTTTTATTTATAGAGCAGGTTTCCAGTACCAAACACTAATACCACTGTAATGTGAGAAAACCTATTTTTGTTTCTCTTCCCTGATTTTTTTTATAGGTAACTGTAGGGTGTAACATCATACTGGTATAATAATCTTGATAAATGTGTTACTACTACTCTTATGCTTCTTCTTACTGCCATTATGAATCATTTGTATGAAGCAATAAGTTCTTTATTTTTCTTGTTTGTTTTATATTGTGGGGGTCTTCCCTGTTAGCTTGTTTCTATTCACGACTGTAGAAAGACTCCCACCTGCTTCATTGTCATTCAAATGTGTATTGTAAAATTTAAATATAATATATGTATACTATATAAATACAAAGGTAGATGTCTCTGTCCATGTACTGATCAAGTAACAAGTAAGAAATAAAGAATACATCTCAGAATTTCAGAGATCGTGTCAAATTCTTTACAATACTCCTTACATTCTTGGCTGAAATTATAAATTGAGTTTATCTGTTGAAAAAAAAAGTGCAAAGCAGAAGGGACGAATTTTATTGAAAAGGCGTAGAAGGAAACACAAGTGGAATTTGGTTATAAATAAACCATCAGGTTTATGATTTTTTACAGCATACACTGATKTCAGTAAAACGTCTGTCACTTAAAAGAACCATACAGATCGTAGTCGCCCCCCTTCTGAAACAAAACCTCATAGGAGACCATTTTGGAGTCACAGTAGGCATACAGCATCTGGTCCACTGGACTGTAGTTTAAGGAAAGAATACTAGGAGACATCTTATTTATGAAGATACCAATGTTAAACTTCTCCTTCCCTGTTGTGGTGTCAAACGAATAAAAGATCTCTTCCAAGTTCTTGTCAACGTAGCGCGTTGCGTAGAGAATACCGCAGGCCATGAAGGTGTTGGTGACACCGTTTTTGGGAAACGAAGTGCGCCAGGTTTGACCAAGAGTCAGCTGCTGGTCCTTCTCCACCTCCACCTTGGACAGAACCAAGTATCCAAAGTCCTGGGTGGTGGTGTAGACCACCCAGACACCAGACTCATCTGTGACCAGGTCCAGGTCGGTGTATACGTAGCATTCATCAAGGTGGCAGAAATTAGCTTTTGAGTTGTACCTGAAAGACAAAGGAACCAGTGAGTAATAATCACCCGCTTCGGATGTTATCGTTCATTAAACGGACATTATTAGCCATTATTAGTCCCATAGAATGGCTTCAGACTGTCAGCTGGTTAGTATGAGACATAAAGCCACTAAGGTTAATTTTAGAGAAAATGACATGGGCTACGAAAAAGTGGACCGAACTCCGGCAGTAGCAGATTGTTGTATTCCAATGTATATGGAACTGGTAACCCACTAGGAGGCACTGTCGGGACAATCTGAAGCCATTCTATGGGACTAATAATGGC